AGAAAACCCTTTGGCTCCTCTTTTTATATGTTTTTTCCTTCCCCCTGGGCCTGTCCTATGCAAATTGGGCATAGGCAGGAGCGCTGTTCTACCTGAAGTCCTCACTACAGTCCTCGGACCTTCCTTTGACCTTGCTCTGCTCTATTTTCATGGGCTTTTCCCTTCCTTGTCTTTTAGCCACCGCCATTTTGGACTCCTTTTCCCTATTCTAACTACCTAACAAATGCAACACCTTAATGGCATCATCCTTTAGCGCTTGAATAGTTCTACTTGGAAGTCCATCACATCCACTAGCTTTATTAACAGCACCGCTTCCTAAGGCCTACTTGACTTCAGTCTCCAGAATATCTGGCTCTGGTGGCTGACCTCACCATTGTAGCAATTGATTCATTTGGATCCTTTTTATACAGTTCTTCCGTGTATCCTTTGCATCTTTTTTTTTTATCTCTTCAGTGTCTACTAGGTCTCTACTGTTGCTGTCCTTTATTGTGCCCATTTTTGGGAGAAATGTTCTCTTGATATCTCCAATTTTCCTGAACAGACCTCTAGTCTTTTGCCTTCTGTTGTTTCCCCTTCTTCTAGAGTAGACATCCTCATAGTTCTAGGACCTATTTAGATCCTAGCTTTTTTTTCCTAAAAGAGTGGTAAATTTCTGGAAACTGGCCATTAAGGCAAATGGTTTGTGAAAAAGCCTCTTTCCCTTCCCTTTTGTGGGAGGCACCTCAGGACCTCAGCGCCACCCTCTCACCACTCCTCCCACAAGCACTTTTTCTAGCTGGTGGTGGGGCTGGACACAGGCAGGAGATATCATGGTCAAAGGTGGAGGTACTGTGTCTGCACTTAGGGGTATGGAGAGCCCAACAGTCATGCAAGAACACGCCACAAAACACTCCCCATTATATGACCCTGGGGAGGCCAGCATGGCAAATGGCACTGCCCAGGCATGTATCCCTGGGGTGTAGCCATGTATGGACCCTACCCTGGCACGACCTGCCCTGTCCCAACAGTGTGAGGTGGAGGGCAGTGGGGGCAGCGACAGACCCCCATCACCTGGTGGACCACGGAGAAGGCTGGCTGAATAGAGGGTGGCTTGCAGAAGCCAGTGGCAAAGGATGGCGGCCCAGATGCAGTCCCACCACCATCAGTTCCAACCACATGGGGCAGGACTGCCCCCCTCCCAGCACCGGGAGTTATGCACACAGACCACCACCGGACAAAAGAGCTCCTGGAGGGCTGCAGTGTGAACACTCTTACACTCTAAGGCTGCATTTATTTTGCCACACAATCGAACCTGGTGACAGTTAAATGATGGATAAGGCAAATCCAGAGGGTCAGGCTCCTATGGTTTAGGTCCTTCACTGCCTGTGAGAATGGTTGGAAACCTTTCCTGACATGCCTTGCACATAGTGAGGTATAAGACCTAGTGGCAAGGTTGGAAAATGCCTGGTAGATTTTTCCCCCATTTCCAGTGCAGTAAGGCATGAAATAAGAGTGGAAAGTAAGAGTGAGATAGGGACAGAGAGAAGACAAGGATGTTCAGGCATACGTGAATCAGGAATAAGCTTCAGGGAGGAGGCAGTGTTATTTATGCTGTTTACTGTGTGCCTAAAACCATTGTGTGGAAATTGCCTTGGGGTAGGTGGACAGACCCATCGTCTCTCTAGTCCATCCCATGACCCAGTCATCTGGATCAGAGTGTTCCATTGATGAGTGCCCTGATTGTTTGTAAATCCTTGACTCATGCCCACACCTTTGCAGCAACAGGTCCAAATATGGGAAATTAGAAAGTGAGGGGCAGGGCAGGGGTGGGGTGGTGGGAGGTAGGGAGGAAAAATGAATGAATGGCAGGAAGTAAGACAGCACCTGTCAAGTACAAGGGAGGCAAGAGGCTAGTTTCTTGTCTCGCAGAAAAAATTCAGAGAAAAAACAGGCAGGTCAAGAAAGTAAAAAGAGGATTACTTTACATGATAGTATACCAGATTGCCGGAAGAAATATCAATAACCTAAGATATGCAGATGACACCACCCTTATGGCAGAAGGCTGGATGGCATCACCGACTCGATGGGCATGAGTTTGAGTAAACTCCGGGAGCTGGTGATGGATGGGGAGGCCTGGCATGCTGCAATTCATGGGGTCGCAAAGAGTCAGACACAACTGAGCAACTGAACTGAACTGATGCCCTCAAGGGGCTTCCCAGGGGGATCAGTGGCCAATGCAGGAGCCACAGGAGACGTGAGTTCAATCCCTGGGTCAGGAATTTCCCCTGGAGTGGGAAATGGCAACCCAGTCCACTATTCTTGCCTAGAGAATCCCGTGGACAGAGGAGCCTGCCGGTTGCAGGCCAAAGGAGTTGCAGAGAGTCAGACGTGACTGAGCATGCACGCACATCTCTGAAGGGGAGAGCAGGCTGTCTCAGCTGAGTGGCTGCCATGTTTCTCTGGCAAACTGGTTATGTGGGGTGTAGAAATGAAGAAGTGGACTATTCATTTGGGAGGGAGGGTTTTTGGGTTTGTTTTTACTGATTTTCATCCCAGCCCCACCTGCCTGAGGGGAGGAAGGATATTTGTTTCATTTAATCTTGATCGAAAGTGTCATGGCATTGGTGCATGATGAGAACTTTTTATCTGCAAGGCTAATTTTATTATGATAAGGGCATAGTGAACAAAAGGTTGTATTTGGACACCAGAAATTCCTGCCTTTTCCTACCTTTCTTTTTCTGCATTCAGGACACTTAGGACAGGCCACACACCCCAAAATGTATGGTTTCCTGTCATTCTGGAAGTTCCTGCTTTTCATCTACCTAGGGATACTTGTTGTTTACAAGATGTGTGGTTTCCTGCCATTTGGCCCATGGTCTCCTATACTCTGCTCGTAGCTAGCTAAGTGCTTGCTTTAGCACTACAACTGTTTATTTTATGAAGTAGGATCAAGAAATGTTTCCCAGAGAAAAATAGTGGGGGAAGAGTAAATAGGAAAGAGAGAAAAATGTTGTGAGAGTGGAAGTGGAGATGTGAAGACATGATATTACAGCACTCTTGGCAATTTTTTGAATATTTGAAAATTTCTAAAGGGATTACATTTCTTGAGATTGAGTCAGGCAGCCCTGAGTTTAATCAGAGAAATAGAGTCCCAGTGTAATTCATGCAACATTTCCTGGGAGAATTAATAATAATGCTAAGGAAGAAAAGCCACCTCCCACCTCCCCTTTGAGGCCTTGAGAAGGGAATAGAGATGCCCTCCTCTAAAGGTAGGCCACTGACACCACCGATGACAGTTTTTTTTTCTTTTAAAATTATTTTTTTCCATTTATTTTTATTAGTTGGAGGCTAATTACTTTACAATATTATAGTGGTTTTTGTCATACATTGACATGAATCAGCCAATACATGTAAACCGATGACAGTTTTTAAAGTGAATGACACAACTACTCTCCTCTTCCTCCAACACTGATGCCGAGAGCCCACTAGTGGGAGGAGGCTTCGTTTCCTGAATTCACCCTCTTTCTCTGCTTCTCCCTGAGTACTTGTCTGTCATCTGCTAGGGTTCTAAAGCCAGGGGCAGTCAACTAGGAGAATCTACAAGAATCTGCATAATCCAGGCAAAAGAATCTGCAGAATCCAGGTAACTGCTAGGAATTTGTTTGCTCACCTCTCACCTGTACTGTTGTTTCATGTAAAAGCTAACTTTGGCATTATAAACAAAAGATCTGAATCTATCAGATTTTATACCCCAGAAAAACATTTATTCCTCTCCACCGTGTACTTCCTCTGAAGTGTTTTGTGGCAAAGGAAACGTGGTCTTGGGTGTTTTGCAGAGTTGATGTCATTTATTTTATCCAAATTCCTCAATACATGGGGTCACCTCCCTGAGCAGGATTGGGGATGGAGACTGCACAAATTGACTGCTTCTCTTTAATGAAAATGTTACTGAGAGGTTTAGTATGAGCTTCTCCAGAATGTGTCACTTTGATGTATGAATTACTTTGAGCTGAAGTCAACCAAGCCTCAAAAGACACAGGAAGAGCTTTTTACCTTCCCCTTAAGTGTCTAAAAGAATTCAGACTAAAGACCTAGTCTAGGAAGAGAACTGACCAGGCATAACTCTGAAGAGTGTGGGCTGGTGTGAGAAGCTGGGGGAAGCCCGGGGGACCCGTTTGTTCAGTTTCCTTCCTGTCCCATTGCCTGTATCTAGTGTGACAATCCATAAGTTTACCAAATATCTACTCACCAAATATTTGCTCTTCCCACTTTCCTGTGAATTATTTTCTTTCCCTTTGAGGGCCCAGACCCCTCCACACCCCTTCTGAGCTCAGGAAGGTATATAAGCCTCAATTGCCTTTCATGTCTTTGTGGAGCTCATATACATACAAAGTTTGTTTTTCTCCTGTGAATCTATCTTATATCAATTTAACAGTCAAAGAACCTAGAAAGGAAGAAGGGCAAAGTTTTCCTCCCTTACAATATCAGAAAACAAATGCAAGATCTAAGTACTACAACTTTGATGTTATGAGAGCTCCAATGAGCTAAAAAATGACAGTTGATACCCAGCATCATGCTTTGCACAGGCAAATGTTCAATGAACAATTGAAAATTTAATACATCACTAACTTGTGGTCCAATCCTCTTTCAGATTAAGACAGAAAATGAATCCCTGGTTACAATGTGGAAACGAATTTGCCCTGAACAAGGAAGAGCTTTCAAAAATGAAAGAAAGCTAGATAAAATTAAAATGATTTGGGAGACGATGATTTTTGTCATTGGTGGTTTCTAAGAAATCTGGATGACCCCAAGATAAAGAAATGACAGGCGTGGGGCTAGGTGATTCAAAATGCTAGATAGCTCTGAGGTTCCATAATCATATGTGATGAAAAGTTGCTTAGTTACAGGGAAGTATGATGGGCTTTAAGGCAGTGTTTGGATTGCCCTAGACACACTCAACTGAAAGTTCAAGGTTTTTTTGATGAATCCCAGTTTATAAGTGAAATGGAAAAAGAAAAAGGTGAGAAAGTTAGTTAAATAGTTTAATCAGAGCAGTTTTACAATTCTAAAATTAACAAGCAGACTTGTAATAAAAGAGCGCCAATATTTGCAAAATGACCTTGCTTCCATTCTGAATCTTTTTATTTGTAAAGATTCACATCACATTTAAAAGGACTCAAAATGGAGTGATTGATATCATCCATGTTTTTTGATGCAACTGGTGAAATCCCTGAATGGATATTGCTTCAGCTTTGATATTTAAAAAATGGCCTGAAAAGAAGTCCTTAATCCACAACTGATCACAGGTGGCTGAAAGAAAGAGAAAAACTCAAACTACTGTCAAGTTCATAATGTATCATATTGTTGGTGGATGACACTGGCTCCAAATACACAATTAAGCCCACAACACTTTATTACTATGAATATAATTATCATGAAAATTCTCTCACGTGGATCAACTTGCTTCTGAAAGTTTTCTTGGTTTGTTTAAACTTGCATAATAAACATGCAATAAATTATTTCTTTTGAAAGTGTATTTTTTGCAGTCTTTTTGTTTTCATACAAAGATTTCATAAAGTTGCAATATTGCATCAGAGCATTACCAAAATAACAGCAGGAGCACAGGGGGAGGGGAAGTGGGAATTTGGATGAATGAGAAGAACCTCCTCTCGTCCTGAGACAGGCCACCCGTCTTTTTCAAAAGGTGCACACAAACTGCTTTTCTTACCCTCCCCCACCGAAGAAAAGCATGAAAGAAAAAAAAAAAGAAAACTCACAAAAGTCAATCTAACTAAGAAAAAAAGTCGACATAAAGAAAATAAAGATTTTTTTTTCATGCACGTATCTTCTGCATAGCTCAACCCACATATAGTAAGGCACTATTTCCCTTCGTAACTGGTGTCCACAGCAATCTGGTAAGTGCTACAGTGCTCTGTGACCATTAGAGAGTTCCTTTCCGGATGGTGAAATAAAGATGCTGAATGAGTGTGGCTGCCACGCTTCCCTGTGAATGTCCAGAGTGCAAGCAGATTTCCAGGAGTCCCAGAAGGAAATCTGTCTGTATAATAATGATTGAGAATCTCCAGAATGTTTTTCTTTTCAAAATTCCTATTTTGTCTGTGTATGAATTTAGCTTATTCTTCAGTCATTATTCTTAAAGAAAATACCCTAGGTGGGGGGAAAAGCAGAGTCAGGTCTTCAGAAACACAGCTTCACTACTCCAAGAAAGCATGTAACGCTGGCAGTTCACATCAGCAAGATGTTTCCAAGAGAACAGAGAGACAGAGTCTAGAAACAGAAGGACAGAGACAAAGAGAGTGTCTGTGTGTGTGTGCATGTGTGTGTGTTTTGGTTTTTGGTGGTGATCTTGGACTGAGATTAATTTAGCTGGTCTTCATACTGTTTCCGGAAACAGTCTCCGGCTGGGAAAAATTCCCAGCACCTTTCTTGATACATCTTCCAAACATAAGATTCCTGTAAAAGTAAAGGCAGTGTGTTAACAACATGTCTTTCCTTAGGATCTGTGTGTTACCACAAAATACAAGATAGAAAGAAACTCAAATTTGTTATTATATATATCACAAACTATCATGGTACATTAACATATATAATTAGAGAATCTCAAATTCATTTAGATGGTTCCTAAATACTCCAGGTTGTATTTATTTCTACTAATAATGGATCTTCATCCTGACCATAATAATGATAAAAACTATTTGTGATACATGATTTTGAGAATTCCTTAAAATTATTATTATTAATTTCACCATTCAAATTCAAGCTATTAACAACAGGAGGTGAATATTTGAAGAGGGAGAATTTCAAACAGCTTGAGCAGAACTTTAAACATTTAATATGCAATTATTTTTTTCTTTTTTTACTTGAAATATAGTTGATTTACAGTGTTGAGATAATTTCAGGTGAATAGTAAAGTGATTCAGTTACACACACACACACACACGTGTGTGTGTGTGTGTGTATCTGTGTATTATTTCCAGATTCACTTCCCTTAAAGGTTATTAGAAAACATTAAGTATAGTTTGCTGTGCTATACAGTAAGTTCTTTTTGATTATGTTTTACATATGGTAGTGTGTATATGTTAATCCCAAACTCCTAATTTATCCTTCACCCCTCTCCCCTTTGGTAATTATAGATATGTTTTCTATGTATGTGGATCAATTTCTGTTTTATATATAAATTTACATCATTTTTATAGATTCCACATATAAGAGATATCATATGATATTTGTTCTTCTCTTTCTGACTAACTTCACTTAGTATGATAATCTCTAGGTCCATCCATACTGCTGCAGATGGCATTATTTCATTGTTTTTTTATGGCTGAGTAATATTCCATTGTGTTTGTATGCATGTGATATATATACAAAGGTTGTTTTCATTCTAGGCTATTGTAAATAGTGCTGTAATGAACACTGGGGTGCATGCATTTTTTCAAACTAATGGTTCTCTCCAGATAATGCCCAGGAGTAGAATTGCTGGATCACAGTGTAGCTCTAGTTTTAGTATTTTAAGAAACCCCCATACTGTTCTCCATCGTGGCTGGACCTATTTAAAATCCCAACAACAGTGAAGGGGGGGTTCCTTTGTCACCACACCCTCCTGGCATTTATTATTTGCAGACTTTCTAATGATGGTCATTGTGACTGGTAAGAGGTGATACCTAGTTGGAAGTATCACCTCCATTGATTTGCATTTCTCTATTAATTAGCAATGTTGGGCATTTTTCATGTGCTTTTTGGCTATCTGTATGTCCTCTGTGGAGAAATGTCTATGTAGGTCTTCTGCCCATTCTCTGATTAGGTTGTTTGTTTTTATGATATTGAGGTATATGAGCTGTTCATATTTTTTGGAAATTATCCCTTGCTGGTTGCATCATTTGCAAATATTTTCTCCCAGTCCATAGGTCATTTATTTGTTTTGTTTATGAATCCTCTGCTGACCAAAAATTTAATTAGGTTGAATTTGGTTATTTTTGAACTTGGTTATTTTCCCATTACACTAGGAAGCTGATCCAAAAAGACATTACTGCAATTTATATCAAGAGTGTTCTGCCCATTTCCTCCCCAAGAGATTTATAGTATCAGGTCTTACATTTAAGTCTTTAATCCATTTTAGGTTTATTTTTGTGTGTAGTGTTAATGTTCTAATTTCATTCTTTGACATGGAGCTCTCCAGTTTCCCCAGCACCACTTATTGAAGAGAATGTCTTTCTCCATTATATATTGTGCCTTTTTGTAGATTAATTGACCATAGGTATGTGGGTTTATTTCTGTGTTTTCTATCTTGTTCCATTGATCTATATTTCTATTCTTGCACCAGTAGCACACTGTTTTATTGTAGTTTTGCAGTATAATCTGAAGCCAGGGAGTCAGATTCCTCTAATTCCATCTTTCTGTCTCCAGACTGCTTTGACTGTGCAGGGTCTTTTGTGTTTTCACACAAATTAAAAATTTTATTGCTCTAGTTCTTTGAAAAATGCCACTGATAATTTCACAGGGGTTACACTGAATCTGTAGATTGCCTTGGGTAAGTGTAGTCATTTTGACAATACTGATTCTTTCAATCCAAGAACATGATATATCTTTCCATCTGATTGTGTCATCTTTGATTTCTTTCATCAGCATCTCATAGTTTTTAGAATAAAGGTCTTTGCCTCCTTAGGTAGATTTATCCCTAGCTGATGCAGTGGTAAATGGAGTTGTTTCCTTTTATTTTTTGTCTTTATGAAATTTTCATTTTTCTTTAACTTTACTGTAGCTGATTTACAGCATTGTGTTAGGTTCTGCTATACGGCAAAGTGAGTCAGTTTTACATATGCTCTGTGTACTCAGCAGCATCTCACTCTTTTGCTACCCCATGAATACCTGCCAGACTCCTCTGTCCATGGGATTATCCCAGCAAGAATACTGGAGTGGGTTGCCATTTCCTCCTCTGGGGATCTTCCCAATCCAGGGATCGAAGCTGCATCTCTTACATCTCCTGCACTGGCAGTCAGATTCTTTAGCACTGAGCCACTGGGGAAGCCCTCATTTTACATATACATGTTCATTCTTCTTAGACTCTTTCCCCGTAGATTAGAGAGTTTCAGGTAGACTTCCCTGTGCTATACAGTAGGTATTTGTTGATTATCTATTTTATATATAGTAATGTATATATGTCAATGCCAATCCCCATCTCCCAATTATCCCACCCCCCTTCTCCCTACTTGGTAACCATAAATTTGTTCTCTACATTTGTGACAGTATTTCTATTTTGTAAATACTTTCATTTATACCATTCTTTAGACTCCAGATATAAGTGATATCATATATTTGTCTTTCTCTGTCTGCCATACTTCACTCAGTATGACAATCTTTAGGCCCATCCATGTTGCTGCAAATGTCATTATTTCATTATTTTTTTAATAGCTGAATAATATTCCATTATATGTAGGTACCACATCTCCTTTATCCATTCCTCTGTAGATGGACATTTACATTGCTTCTATGTCCTGATGATTGAGACAGTGCTGCAATGAACACTGGGGTACATGAATGTTTCCAAATTATGTTTTCTCTGCATATATGTCCAAGCAATGGATTGCTGGATCATATGGTAGATGTATTTTTAGTTTTTTAAAGAAACATCCATACTGTTCTGTACAATGGCTATACTAATTTACATTCCCATCAGTGTAGGAGGGAGGGTTCTACTTCTGCACACCCTCTCCCGCATTGGTTATTTGCAGATTTTTTGATGGCTGTTCCGAATGGTGTGAGGTAATACCTTGTTGTAGTTTTGATTTGCATTTCTCTATTAATTGGTGATGTTGATCATATTTTCAAGAACCTCTTGGCCATCTTGTATGTCTTCTTCAGAGAAATGTCTTTTTAGATCTGCCACCCATTTTTTGATTGGGTTTTTTTCCCTTTAGATGGAACTTCATGAGCTGTTTGTGTATTTAGGAGATTATTGCCTTGTCAGGAGCTTCATTTGCAAATAGTTTTTCTCATTCTGTGGGTTACCTTTTCATTTTTATTATGGTTTCCTTTGCTGTGCAAAAGCTTTTAAGATTAATTAGGGTCTGTTTATTTTTGTTACTCTAGGAGGAGGACCAAAAAATACTTTCTGTGATTTTTTTTTAGAGAGTGTTGTTACTGAGTTTCCCTCTAAGGGTTTTACAGTATCTGGCTTACATGTAGATTTTAAACCCACTTGGAGTTTATTTTTACGTGTGGTGTTAGAGAATGTCTCAATTTCATTCTTTTGCATGGAGCTGTTCAGTTTTCCCAGCACTACTTATTGAAGAGACTGTCTTTTCTCCACTGTATATCTTTGCCTCCTTTGTCATAGATTAGGTAACCATGAGTTCATGGTGTTTTGTTTTGTTTTTTTGATTGGAATATGGTTGCTTTACAATGTTGTGTTAGTGTCTACTTTACAGAAAGTGAATCAACTATTTATAGCTCTTCTTTGAGGGAAACCTTTTGGATTCCCCCCCATTTAACTCACCACAGAGCACTGAGTGGAGCTCCCTGTGTGAGCCGGGTCTCATCAGATATAACTACTGCTGCTGCTGCTGATGCCGAGTCGCCTCAGTCGTGTCCGACCCTGCGCCACCCCATAGACGGCAGCCCACCAGGCTCCGCCGTCCCTGGGATTCTCCAGGCAACAACACTGGAGTGGGTTGCCATTGCCTTCTCCAATGCATGAAACTGAAAAGTGAAAGTGAAGCCGCTCAGTCGTGTCTGAGTCGTGTCTGACTCTTAGCGACCCCATGGACTGCAGCCCACCAGGCTCCTCCGTCCATGGGATTTTCCAGGCAAGAGTACTGGAGTGGGTCGCCATTGCCTTATATATAACTAATATAACTAATTTTATACCTAGTATCAGTGGAGTATATATGTCAATCCTAAGCTCCCAATTCATCCTATTCCCCCTTTGACCTTTTGTATCCATACAATTATTCTCCGTATCTGTCTCTATTTCTACTTTGTAAATAAGATCATTGATACCATTTTTTTCAGATTCCATATATATGCATTAATATACGGTATTTGTTCTTCTCTTTCTGACTTACCTTACTCTGCATGACAGTCTCTAGGTCCATCTGTGTCTCTACAAATGACCCAGTTTCATTCCTTTCTATGGTTGAGTAATATTCCATTGTATATACATACCACATCTTCTTTATCCATTCCTCTGCTGATGGACATTTAGTGTCTTATTATAAATAGTGCTGCAGTGAACATTGGGGTAGATGTTATCTTTTCGAATTATGGTTTTCTCTGGGTATATGCCCAGTAGTGAGATTACTGGGTCACATGGCAGTTCTACTTTAAGTTTTTAAGGAATCTCCATACTGTTCTCCATAGTGGTTGTATCAATTTACATTTCCACCTACAGTGCAAGAGAGTTCTCTTTTATCCACACCCTCTCCAGCATTTATTGTTTATTGATTTTTTGATGATGGCCATTCTGATTGGACTATAAAGAAAGCTGAGCACAGAAGAATTGATGTTTTTGAACTGTGGTGTTGGAGAAGACTCTTGAGAGTCCCTTGGACTGCAAGGAGATCCAACAAGTCCATTCTAAAGGAGATCAGTCCTTGGTATTCATTGGAAGGACTGATGTTGAAGTTGAAACTCCAATATTTTGGCCACCTGATGCGATGAGCTGACTCATTTCAAAAGACCCTGATGTTGGGAAAGATTGAAGGCAAGAGAAGAAGGGGACGACAGAGAATGAGATGGTTANGTCTCCTGCACTGGCAGGCAGGTTCTTTACCACTAGTGCCACCTGGGAAGCCCCATTAATATGGTATTCTTATTACTATTTTGTTAATTGTTTTGAGTTTATTTTTATTAATTTGTTGTTTTGAGTTTATTTTCTTCCTTTCCTCTTTCGTTCTCTTTGATTTGATGATCACCTTTAGTGTTGTGTTTGGATTCCATTTTCTGTGTGGGTGTATCAATTTAGATTTCTGATTTGGGGTTGGCATGGGATTTTGATATAGCAGTCTGTGTGTACACTTGATTAAATTGCTGATCTCTTAATTTCAAATATCCTACATTTGTACTCTTCTCCTCCCACAATTACTGACTTAGATATCATATATGTGTGAGAAGTATTTCCTACCTTTATTATATGTTTGCTTTATTGGTGAGCTTTCCCATTTTGTAATTTTCTTGTTTCTAGTTTTGGTCTTTTCTTTTCCACCTAGAGAAGTTCCTTTAGCATCTATTATAAAGCTGGTTTGGTGGTGCTGAATTCTTTTAGTTTTTGCTTGTCTGTAAAGCTTTGGTTTCTCCATCAAATATGAATAAGAACCTTTCTGGGTACAGTAAGTATTCTTGATTGTAGGGTTTTACTTTTCATCACTTTAAATATATCACACCACCTGGCCTGCAGAGTTTCTGCTGAGAAATCAGCTGCTGATACTATTATATAGAACCTCTTTTATGTAATTTGTTGGTTTCCCATTGTTGCTTTTAATATTTTCCCACCTCCTGAGGAGACCCTCCAAAAAAAATAGCAGGTAGGTCTGGCCCAGGCTCCTATGAAGTCACTGCTTTTGCCTTGGGTCTGATGCACACGAGACCGTGTGTGCAGCCACCAGCAATGGAGTTTTGTTTCTTCCAGTTCTTTGGATCTCCTGCACTTAATCCCTGCTGGCCTTCAAAGGCAAATGCTCTGGGGGCTCTTCTTTCTGATGCCAGGCCCTCAGGCTGGAAAACCCGGCATCAGCTCAGAAGTCTCACTCCTGTGGGAGAACTTCTATGATATAATTGTTCTCCAGTTTGTGGGTTGCCCACCTACGGGTCATGGTATTTACTTATATTCCAAGTGCCCCCTTTATACCATCTCATTGTGGTTTCTTCTTTGTCTTTGGATATAGAATATCTTTTTTGGTAAGTTCCAGGCTTTTTCATCAGTGGTTGTGTTTAGCAGTTAGTTGTGATTTTGGTGTGCTCCTGAGAGGATGTGAGCTCAGGGTCCTTCTGCTCTGCCATCTTGTCCCAGGATATGCAATTATTTTCAAATGATAGTAATACTGTTGGATGAAGTTCACTTGAAATAATCTGCTATCTTATTAAGCAATCAAGTACATTATAATTATCAAAACCCAAGCTCAGCATTTTCAGCTAATAAATGTTCAATTCTAATTTTACTTTTTCCTACTATGGCAATCTTTTGTATACTCATCCAGAATAAAAGGAATTTTATACTAAGATACCATGACCAATATCAGAGAGTAAGTCTGATATTAACGTTTAATGTACACGTTTATTCCAGCAAGCAGAGATTCTTTTATCAATTTTTTCAGATGACGTAGGTCACTGTTTACGTACCTGTCCTGTGTGCTCTGTTTCATCTTTGTTTATGAGATACATCAGAAAAAACCTACAGATACACAGAGAATAATCAGAAATGGACTGTATGGAAATAGCATAAACAGATACCTCTGATCTTGCTATGGGCTAACTCTTTATGGCAGAGCATAGAAATGTGTCAAACATGAAGGGCAAAAAAAAGAAACAAGAAATGCCATGGGGACCAAAAGCTTATCTTCTTTTAAATATTTTTTCAAAAGAGCTAAAATATATGCACCAGTCAAGTTATACTTCTTGGGAGCTGCTTTATGCCAGGTTTAGTGCCAGACCCTGCCTGAAACTATATCCTATTTATTCACTTATGGGGCAGGAACTGTGATCCTCATTTGGAAAATCAAGGATTAAAAAGGTTAAATAACTTGTCTAATATCACATACTTTTGAATCCCAAAGTCCACTTCAATGCTATTCTGTATCTCTTCTTTTAGATATTAAAATCAGGTTAGAAACAGATTAAGAATTAATATTGTACCAAAGTACAGTTTCTGGCTAGTCTTGAGTAATAGCTAGATTTCTATGTATTAAAAAAAATGTAACTTTTATCTGTGTTTTCCAATAGTGCCTAAAGAGCTCTGTATTTTCTCAGGAAAGAAAAATGAAGATTCACATATTTCTAGGGAGCAGATGGAATATTCCTGTTTGAAATAAGAAACACAGACAAAGCTCTCTGAGAGGCTTGGTGCACATTCTGCTCATCCTTTCCACCTTTTCATTTCATGTTCTAGAAGGTATCATTCATGTGGGACATTGCAACTTCATTTCCTAAGTTAACCTACTCTTGAAGAAAAAGAACCACTAGCTGTGGGTGTTTCCCTCCAGGAGGCTTATAAGAAGCCTGAGGCCAGTGGTAATGAGAGGGGTTCTCTCTCCAGTTTCTCCAGCATGCTGAGTTAAAGCCTGGGTATCGGGAGAGGCAGGGGAGTGAGTCAGGCATACTCACAGATAATTGGCCAAGTTGTGTTCCTGTAAAGTGTGGGTTTCAAAGCCATGTGGCACGGTGTCAAAGTAATCATTGCCTATCCCACAGATGAAGCACTTGGTCTAGAAGACAAAGGCAAATATTCAAAGGTCACAGTTGAGAAAGGAAAACATAACTCACCACTTGGGGGCAGTTACTTGATTTACTCAGTCTACATAAAAGATCATCCCAGAAGGCTTCACCAAGTACTTGAATACCAGCTGAGCTGCTCCCACAACTACAGATTATTGTGGAGTTTCAGTGACATAGCAACCAGCAGCAAGAAGTAACAGGGGCAGAAAGAGCACAGGGTGATGATGGCTGAAAAGCAATGTCTTCTTTTTTTCTCCAGCCTGAGTAAGCGCACCCAGGCTTGGTGATCACTCTTGTTTATGACACTGGCTATAGCTAGGCATGACTAAATGTGTCCTCAGTTGAAACTACAAACTTGGTACCTATCCTAGCCATGTCTGATGACCAAGTTGGGTGGGCGGGGGACACCAAACCAAATACCAAACTATGAGGTATAGAATCAACAATTCAGAAAAGGTCCACCATGTGCCAGGTACACAATTAACCTGTGGCCATGTATTGGGATGACAATCTATTCTAGAAATAGGATGCCTTCTCTTCCTGCTTCCCTCCCATCCCATCCATCTCTCTCTTCACTTGCTAGGTCTGTCATCTGCAGGCCCGAAACACAGGGAGAAGCAGGCTTTTCATTTTATCATTAGCACTGCCTATGTATCAACTCAAATGAATTCAATAATTATTATCCTCATGCAGCTCCAGATGCTCATCATCCCTGCAAATTAGAAGCTATTTTGTACCACTAGAGGCATGTTTATGATGCCCTAGATGCTAGAGCCTAGAATCAAGATTATTAAGATATTTTATAACTCTCTTTGCCTTACTGATCAACAGCTACTAACAACAGAAAGGCTCCACTCAGCGGTCCAGCCTTGGACACCATTCAGTCTCTTAAATAAATAGGTTCACACTCAACAGCTTTCCCCAGGAACTTGCCCTTCCTCTGTTACCTCCCTTGGTGACTGTGTTTAACTGAGCCACCATGCTTCTTTCTAGAGGCTCATGCCGGAACCTTGGTATCATTTGCTTGCTTCAAACTTCATCCTCTGCATATGGCCAATCACCAAGTTCTTTTCATGCCAGCTCCAAAGTACTCCTTGAGTTCATCCGGTTCCTCCCTCCTCAGTGGCACTTCTTTAGCAAGAGCCTCATCATCTCCTACCTAGAAAATGCTGACAGCTGCTTCCCTGTTCCTGGTCATGCCTTCATTCCCCCTATTGTAATCTAGACTTATTCTTTTTAGTGTAAATCTGATCATGTCACTGCCCTGCTTAAAACCCTTTTCCTGTTTCCTAGCTTGTAAGTTACACTGTAAATTTCTCAAATGTGTTTTTACACTCTTAATAAGTTGGCCTTCCTTGTCAGTCCCATTATTAGAATGTAATACTTCATCCTGCACCAGTTATGCTTCCAAGGGAAAAATCTGCATATCAAATTCCCAAAAACCAGAGTCTTGGTATATAGAACCTCAGGCAGTGACATTCTCACAGAATCCAATGGGCATAGTGGGGCACATCAGGGTGAGGAGGTTTCCTAAACTGTCCTGCACTCTCTCTCTCTCTCTGTCTCTCTCTCACATCCACACCTCTGCAATCTTCAGGCCTCAGCTTGTGCATCTCTTCTTTTAAGAACTTCCCTGATCATCCAAGGTGAAATGAGACACAAGCCCCAAGGACCGCAGTACTCAGGGTTTCCTCCTATAAGTGCTCATCACACTGCTCTGTGATTGCCTGTTTATTTATCTGTCAGTGAATCCGTCATTTAGAATGGATGGTCTTCCCACTGATGGACAGGTGGATGGTGCCATATTACTGTCTGTATGTACCTGGAGCCCATCACCTTGCTCAACTATATGTGTTGCCTGAACCAAAAACAGGCCAATGAAATTACACATTGTTCATGTTCTTCCCCCTTCCTCCCACTGCCATAATTCTTTGATAAAGGCAGTGAGGACAGAGAGTATCCGCAACAAAAACGTATAGTGAGAAACAGACGTACCTCCATGTCTTCTTTGACCTGTTCCTGTTGGTCTCTTAGTTCCCCAAAAGCATCGATGATTAAACCTAGTGTTAAATAAAGACAGGATTTAATCTTTAGCAACCAGAAAGTGATAATGAAATTCACAGCCCTTTGGCTAATCCTCCTAAGGAAAGGGACCATGTACAGCTACACTGGGAAATGCACACACTGGATACTCCTACGAAGGCAGTGGCATTATCTCCTGGGGGGGAAATGAAATTCACAGCCCTTTGGCTAATCCTCCTAAGGAAAGGGACCATGTACAGCTACACTGGGAAATGCACACACTGGATACTCCTACGAAGGCAGTGGCGTTATCTCCTGGGGTGGGAGGGGGCAGAAATACATGCAGTTTCCAGACCACACACTATCCAAAAAGGGGTTTAAAAATGAAGCAACAGAGCAGGGAAACCTTTGGTTACCTTGGCATCAATAAATGGTATGTTATACTATCTGCTTCATGCTAAGAAAGAGCAATTGAGATTTATGGTCATAAAGTACAGAAAATACCACCAATAAGTTTTCAAGTGCTAATTTGCAAGTCAAACATACTTATATTCATTGTGAGGAATCTGCCCCAAATCTTTTTTTTTCCCCCACAAATTCCTTATCAGTAAACTTCCTGCAATGTTATTAACTGCAGCAATCAGCCAACTTCCTTCTGCTCTGTCCCCTTTTCTCCTGTGACTTGCCTGACTGTACACTGTCTTCCAAGTGTTTTATGACTTTGCCTTCTTATAAAACATTATTATTACACTCAAGAAAGACATAAAGGAAAAAGAGACACAAAGGGGAAGATCATGAATCCTTTAAATGTGTTCCTGTGCTTTACTAAAAAAAAATGTACCATTTTTGCCTCTGGAATTTAGAGGATAACGTGTCATTTATAGACATTTAATTCAAGCTAGGAAATATGTAAGCAGAAAAAGACAACATGAATGATTTTTCTAAGGGGAAAAAAGGTTACCCTGGAATAAAAGGAGGGGAGAAAAACTGCCCACTCCGAGTTACCCTGGGGTGAAAGAAGGAACGAGTGGTCAACATGGTGCCGTGGTGGATGCGAGGGGCTGGGTCCCAGCCCTGACACTTGGCAGCTGTGCACTTCAGCTGAGTTACATGTTATGGCTCAGTTTCTTCAAAGGTGAAGAACAATACTCTGCTCACAGGGCACATGGAACAGACATCATTTTTAAAGAAATATTTTCTATAATCCATGGCTTAGAGCTTTATATAATTTCCATGTGATAGACCCAAAGAGGTTAAATGGCGTGCCCACTGTTAGTTGTAAAGGATGTCAGTGGCAGGGCTGGAAATCAGACCCAGGAAAGCGCTCTTTCCATTATGTTATTTGAAAGGAGTCCAAAGAAACCTGTATTCATCTCTTCCCCAACCCGCAGACCAAGGTCCGCTACGTCTTTGTTTTTCCCTCTACAGATTTCCAATGAAGAAACACGGAAAGGAAAAGTTCTATTTGGCTTTTCTAGGAAACACTTGACAGTCTTACCCTATCTTTAATGTTAGCTTCAACAATAAGTAGGTCAGATTCTAGATCTTCTTGACCTCCAGTGAGCTTACCTTGTATTATGGCCAAGAGAATGACAATTACAAAAAAGAAGAAGGTGATGTCAAAGATGATTCGATATATCTCATATTCATCACCAGCTGGATCTTCGATTTCATCACCAATACCCCCTCCGGCACGTACTCCAACATACATGTGGAACATATAGCACTGGAAAATAAAGGAATAGCATCACCTCCTGGAGGATCATTGCCCATTTTTATAATCAACACACCTAAGGTTCTCTCTAGCTCCTAATCTTCACTCTGGAAATTATGAGAATCTTTGCCTTCTACATCATTTCTTTGTGTTTCAGTATTTGTAACTGTGATGCAAACACTTGACTCTGCTGTCTTTTAAACAAAACTCTGTACTGCATACTCTGCTTAGCACCTGTTGCCATACTTTGCAGGAAATGCATCTGGCATTAAGATCATACTAGGGGGCACAAAACTATATTTAATTGCACTGTTCAAGTTTTTTTTTTTTTTTTTAGCATAACAGATGAAGGAATGGGGAAGTAAAAGTCCAATGTATAACTGGATAGAATGTTAGAAATAAAGAATAAAGAAAAAAAAATAAAGAAAAAAAAATCAGACTTAACACTTATCATCCCCTCATCTATCATATGTGGAATATAATGCACAAAGTTTTTTAACTTTAATTTCTAGAATAAAGAAAAATGAGAGAGGCAGGGAAGAAATAGCAGCTTATCATTAACACGCTAGAAGTTTAAAGTAACCAACAATATGTACTGCTGCAAATGTCCACTGCCGAAAAGAAGGGTGTAGTAAAATGCTTTGGGGTGGGGTTTCTCAGCCTCATCACTATTAACATTTCAGAAAAGATAATTCTTGGCTGAGGGGTTTCCCCCCTTATATTTCTGGTCATTCCTTCTCAGCCCTGTCAGCCACTTCTTCCTCATCTACCTATCTCTTCATAAACTGATCCCCAGGATTGGGTTCTCTGATTTCTTTTTTTTTCTTTTAGGACATTCCCTTAGGAAACTTTTCTAGTTTAATACTTAAGCATCATCTGTGGTAATTATAAAATATTTCTGTTTACACCTCAGGTCTCTTTCTTGAATCCCAGACTTGTATCTCCAACTTATTTTTCATTTGATGTTTTATGATCTCATTTCATTATAATTAGTCCCATTATAAGAAGAATTACTTAGGTTACTTCCTTGTCATCTTGCATCTTTGCATCTTGCGTAAGTGCTCAGCCGTGTCCAACTCTTTGTGACCCCAGGGACTGTAGCCTACCAGGCTTCTCTGTCCATGGGATTTCCCAGGCAAGAATACTGGAGTGGGTTGCCATTTGCTTCTCCAGGGGGTCTTCCCGACCCAGTGTTCAAACCCACGTTTCTTGCATTTCCTGCACCGGCAGGCAGATTCTTTTTTTTTTCTGTTAAACTCTGTATATTATTATTACTTTTTTTTTTTTTTACAATAGAAAGTTAAAAATCAAGACTTAGATTTACTATACATTTCTTTTTCTCGCAGATTACAAAGTTTATATTATATAACTGGGGCTCCCTAAATCGAAGTCCTTTTTAAAACAGTCCTAAGAGAGACCAAAATTAAATATAAAAGAACTAAATGAAATTAAAAAAAAAATGAGAATGTGCTGCAGCTGGAAGTCGTCTATGATCTGTGAGTCTCCAGATTTCGCACGCACGCACGCGCACGCACGCACACGCACGCACACGCTAGCACGCACGCACGAGAAAGAATGAGAACGGAAACCCCGCAGCCCCGGGACGCGCACGTGGACGAGGTTGAGCACCGCGCGGGGGCAGGAGGCGGGTAGCACCTGGGGCGAGCGGCCTGCGCCCCGTGGGGTCTGGGCTCCCCTCACGCCACGGAAAAGGCCTGCATCTCTGCTCCTTTGTTTTTTTTTTTTTAATTGCATTTCTTTTGCGGTTTTGTTTTTCTTTTAAAAAATAATGACCAATGATGTTAATAAATAAAATATTCATATATACACGAGACTGGGATGATGGTTCCAGAGTGCGTGGTAGCGGCTGGGCTGGGGACACACACGGGGCTGGCCTTTCCTAGAAAATTGCTGAACCTTACAAAAAGACTCTCCTTTTCTTTTTTTTAATCTTTTCTCTTTTTTTTTTTCAAAGTTGAGGTAAAAGTTTCACTGTTCGGGAACCCTCGTGCTGCCCACGCAGCTTCTGTGATCCTCCTGGGAGCTCCCAACATCATGGGAGATCAGAAAGATGGGGCTCCTCTGCACGCCCCTCGCTGGCTCCCCGCCCGCAGAAGCTCGGGCTGGGAGCCACGGGGACCCCTCCTGGCGAGGGCCCAGCCCTGGCCCTCACGGCAGGGGCGGGCTTGGCTGTCTGCAGCCCCTGCAGAAAGAGCTGCCCTCGACGTGAGGGTCAGGGCCCAGGGCCCCCGGAGACGGAGATAAACCCTGTTGGCAAAGCCAACAGCCTTCCCGTGCAGTACCACGTCCGAGACATTTCCTCGGGAGACATTCTCTCTGGGGCTACAGACCAGGTCGGGCTTAAGAAAAGGGGTTCTGCAAGCACCTTCAGACCACACCTCACACGTTTTCCTACAGTTATCAGGTTAGCGTCTGAAGCCAGCATATCCAAGGGACTTGAGTTCAGTTATAGAGGAAAGACCTTACTTATGCCGATTCACAGCTTCTCAAAGTCTAATGGACACACAGAGAAAGATCTCAGTTGACCTATTAAAGCCAGAACTGGAAGATACCATAACACTGAAGTGAAAAGAGAACCTGCACACCATGGAATGAAAGGAGTGTATTAGGCGGGGGCGGCGGCCACCGGCTGTGTCCTGAGCCGCGCGAGTCCCGGGCTCACTCGGAGTCGCTGCTGTCGGAGCTGGATCCGCTGGTGCTGCTGCTGCCGGACTCGGAGGAGGAGCTGCTTGCTGAGCCGCGAGGGCCCCCCGGACGTGGCAGAGCCCGACTTCTCTCTCTTGGCTGGCTTCCTGCTGTTGCTCAGCTGCCCGCTGACATCCTGCAGCCGCCTCTCCAGCTCCTCCTTCTTCTCCTGAGCCAGCTCCTCCTTCCACTTGGCCGCCTGCTTCTTCCCGCTCGTGGAGAATGGCTTTCTTTGCTTTTTCTGTAAACAAGACTTGACGTATCTCTCCAGCTACCGCAGCGGGGTGGGCTTCAGGGTCTCGAAGTCGATCTCGATCTCGTCGGGGTTGGAGTCCCGCAGCGAGGGCTCCCGCGACTGGATGATGTGCACCAGGCGGCCCAGCTTCTCCCCCGGCAGCCGGTTGATGTCCAGACTCAGCTGCCGCTTCTTATCGTAGCTCATGGGCAGCCCCTCCTCCTCCTCCGGGTCGTAGGAGGCCGACACCTGCTTGCCTCCCTTCTTCGGCTGTCTGCCAGCCACGGTGGTGCTGTTGGCCTTCTTGGCGGGCGCCTTCTTCTGCGGTGCCTGCTTGGCGGGCGGGGCGGCCTTGGCCCGCTTCTCGTCCTCGGCCTTGGCCTTGTGCCACTCCTTGTCCTTGTCCTTCTTCTTCTTCTTCCTCTTTGGCTTGTTTACTGGCGCCTGAGACAGGGCGGCCAGCTGCTCGTGCACGGCCTTCAGCTGCTCCTGCAGCTCCGCCAGCCGCGCGGCGCGCTCCTCCTCTGAGTCCGAGCTGCCTGAGTCCGAGGAGCTCTCATTGCTGCTGCAGGTACTCTCCACGCCCTTGTTGACCACCGGGGCCGCAGGCGTGGGCAGCGCGGGTGCCTCCGCCGGCTCGTCCGGCATCTTGGCGAAACACATCTCAAACACGTCCTGCAGCTTCCTGGCCATGGCCACCACCTCGTGGTCCGGGGGGTTGTATTTGTAACAGTTGGAGAACATCAACCTGATGNAGGAAGGCCGGCCACCCCCACGGAAGCACATGACTGTGTGTGCAGACGCGTCACTCCAGGGGACGGGGCTGGTGCAGGGTGAGCCTCAGTGCGCCTCTGCGCCCAGGCCAGCCCACCTTGTCCACCCACGAGGCCGTGGCCTCCCGCTCCCCACACCCAGGCCCGTGTGTCCCCTCTGCCCTTCCATCCTCGCGGATTCTGGGCTGGGCCCGCCTTCCTAGCACCTGCCACTCCCTGCACCACCTGGGCCGAGGCCAGAGGGGCCGTCCTCCCAGGACAGGGGCCCCCCGAGGGGCGGGGGCAGTGAGCAGGACCCTCACGGGCAGGGGTCGAGGCACTCACGGGCAGGTTCAGCTTGATGGCGTCCACGGGCTGGTAGAAGGGCCAGGCGAACTGGTGTTTCCAGAGTGTCTTTACCACCACGTTCTGCATATACTGCAACTGGTTGGTCTTGCGGCCGGGCTTGGCGGGGTTGGAGACCTCCGGTGGGGGCGGGTTCACTGGGCCCGGGGCCGCCGGGATCCCCGTGGGGGCGACCGGCGTCGCGGTGGACATCCTCCGGCTGCTCGCTCACTGGCCGTCACGGCAGCAGCTCGGGGAGGCCTTGGCTTCCTCTGTGCTCCCTGCCGAGGTGCGGCATCCCATGTCTGGGCCCAACCAGGCAGCACTTGGCCTCGGCGGCTCTGGCGGCCGTCCCCTCCCGGCCTGCGCGGCCGGCTCCTCTTTGGGTCGCCGGCCCCGACAGCATAATAGATGCGCCACAGCCGACCGCAGGCAGATTCTTTATCACTGGCACCCTGGGAAGCCCTCTATCATCAGTGCCTAAATAATGTTCAGCGCATGATAGGCCCTTAAAACTCAGTGGGGATGACTGAAGAGTGAAAAATTATGACTAGTCGGTTGTTTCCTGGAGAACAGATCAGATACACCTCAAATTCTCAAGTAGTTTTAAAGAGCACCAAATTCAAGCAAAGAATACAAGATAATGCCAAAGTACTCATACAGACAGCCTGATGAGATCAGTGGTGTCTAAACTTAACTCTGCATCCACATCTCCCAGAGGCGTAAACATTCCTAATTCCTGGTATCAACTACTGAATTAATCTCTGGAAGTAAGATTTGAAGACACTTTAAAAAAGCCTTTGGGGAGATGCCCCAAAGGCTCCTCAGTGTGGGTGAGTGAAAATGCCCTGGATGTGAGAAACAGGTCCAGGTCATCTTGGCTGTGTTTTCAGATGTACATATATTTCTTCTAAGTTGATTAAAGTTGTTTTGGAACTATCAAGTACCTCAAAGAAATGCACTGCATTGAATACCTGTCAATCATGCATAAAAAGAAAGAACTGTTTTTGGTGCAGTGAAGCAAAGGCTTGCAAAAAAAAAAAAATGTTTTCCAAATTCTGAATGTCCTGTCAGTTGTTCATTTTGGTTAAACTGTCAAGAGATCTCCTGTTGTTGTTCAGTCGCTAAGTCATGTCTGACTCTTTGCAACCCCACGGACTGCAGCACAGCAGGCTTCCCTGTTGTTCACCAACTCCTGGAGCTTGCTCAAACTCAAAGTCTATATTGATGGAAGACCACACACAATTTACATTCTTCACGGTAGTGGTCCTGTATATAATGAATAGATAAGTGAAAAGCTGGATCACCCAGAGAGAGAAGAAGGAAGCTTCTTCAATGATTTTTGTAATCTACACGACAAATTTTAACCTCCTTTGAAAAGGATGTTCAATGCCTTTTTGGAGTAAGGCAGTATTTTCCACAGTCCAGTTACTGCCTGGCCAAATCTGCCAACAGGGATGTTATTAAAGAATGTCTTCCAGCCCTCAGATTGGGAGAAAATAATAGCAAACGAAGCAACAGACAAAGGATTAATCTCAAAAATATACAAGCAACTCCTCCAGCTCAACTCCAGAAAAATAAATGACCCAATCAAAAAATGGGCCAAAGAACTAAACAGACATTTCTCCAAGGAAGACATACAGATGGCTAACAAACACATGAAAAGATGCTCAACATCACTCATTATCAGAGAAATGCAAATCAAAACCACAATGAGGTACCATTACACGCCAGTCAGGATGGCTGCTATCCAAAAGTCTACAAGCAATAAATGCTGGAGAGGGTGTGGAGAAAAGGGAACCCTCTTACACTGTTGGTGGGAATGCAAATTAGTACAGCCACTATGGAAAACAGTGTGGAGATTTCTTAAAAAGCTGGAAATAGAACTGCCATATGACCCAGCAATCCCACTTCTGGGCATACACACCGAGGAAACCAGATCTGAAAGAGACACGTGCACCCCAATGTTCATCGCAGCACTGTTTATAATAGCCAGGACATGGAAGCAACCCAGATGCCCATCAGCAGACGAATGGATGAGGAAGCTGTGGTACATATACACCATGGAATATTACTCAGCCATTAAAAAGAATTCATTTGAATCAGTTCTAATGAGATGGATGAAACTGGAGCCCATTATACAGAGCGAAGTAAGCCAGAAAGATAAAGACCATTACAGTATACTAACACATATATATGGAATTTAGAAAGATGGTAACGATAACCCTATATGCAAAACAGAAAAAGAGACACAGATGTATAGAACAGACTTTTGGACTCTGTGGGAGAAGGCGAGGGTGGGATGTTTCAAGAGAACAGCATCGAAACATGTATATTATCTAGGGTGAAACAGATCACCAGCCCAGGTTGGATGCATGAGACAAGTGCTCGGGCCTGGTGCACTGGGAAGACCCAGAGGGATCGGGTAGAGAGGGAGGTGGGAGGGGGGATCGTGATGGGGAATACATGTAAATCCATGGCTGATTCATGTCAATGTATGACAAAAACCACTACAATATTGCAAAGTAATTAGCCTCCAACTAATAAAAATAAATGAAAAAAAAGAACATCTTCATTGGACCGTAGGTTTTAGAACACAAAGTAACTGGCCCCTTGTCAGTTAGTATAAGAACACTGATATGGTTGTCAAGACAAGGCACTGTAATTAAGTGGGGAGAGAGAACAAGAGGGCAGAGGAGGAGGTGGATGTGCAGCACCTCTCTCTCCATGGATACAACAGGAAGACACCTTCAGACACTGACGTGCACGCAGAACACCAGCTGAGAGTGGACAAGCGTACCTGACCAGTGGAAAAGAATATATAGAACCACGCAAAACTCGGTAGGATGAAGGAACTAGGGGGAAAAACAGGAGTGTCAGTAGAATTGGACCTGCCCTCGGCAGGTGGGGGAACTGAAACAGGGGTCCAATCCCCACATGGGGGCAATTCTCCGAGTCAGAGGAGAAACATTTAAGGCTGGGAGTGAAACAGACGATCTGTGGAGCCTAAATGGAATGAGACTCACACAGTCCTTGCGCTTGACGCAACCACACATACCCTGGACAGGAACACTGGTCCCCTGGAAGGTGCAGCTGCTGGGAGCTGGAGTTTAGGGACTGTGGAGCAATCCCAGTGTGAGGGCTGATGTTGACTGTGGAGAGATGGATTAAGGGGATGTGAGGGAGGAGACTGTGGTGGGAAATGCCTGTGGAGGAAAGCCAGGCAGCCATGGAAGCAAGGTGATACTGCTGAGTCACACAAAGCGGGTGGAACCATCACCATAGCCTCTCCTTCCCACAGGCCAGCACCAGCAGCTGAACAATAGACAGGCTGGGCCATCAAATGCCTAATGCACTGAACTGCAGAGTAGGACCTCACCCAGGATGCCCCTGTCAGTGCCTGATGCTCCGTTCTACGGAGTAGGACCCGAGCCAGGGGGCCCCCTCTATGTGCCTGCTGCACTGAACAACAGAGAAGGACCCCAGGCAAGGGAGCCCTCTAAGCACCCGAATGGGCAGAGCTACAAAGACTGGCCAAAGAGGCCTTCTGATCACCAGCTACAAGAGGTTCAAAAAAAGACTGACAGGGCGCTAACTCCTGCAGGGGAGGCAGTCCATGTCCCTGCACACTT